GCCACTTCCCATTTGAAAAGTTTTCAGTGCATGACTATTGCCTGAGAATTAAAGGTCAAGATCCTTAACATGAGATTTAATTCCTTTATTAATCCTGGACCTTCCAGTATCTTTACCCTTGATGCTGAATCCACGTCCCAGACACAGGATTTCCTTACCATATTCAATCTTGTCCTCACAAATTTAGCTCATGCTTGGAATGTATCTCCTTTTCTCTAAATCCACTAAACCCTGCACAGTTTTTGAAAGTAAAGTAATCGCATTTTCATTCCTTTCTTCTATTTCCTAAATAGTTTCCTTCAGTTTACTAGTAATAAATAAAAGATAACCTGATAAGAGTTATATTTGAACTCCCCTACCCCAATTTCAACTTACAATAATTATTAATGCATAGTGAATATATATTTTTTACATTTACTGACTTTTATTTCAGAGGACACCAAGTGAGGACATGGAAAAGGAAAATGCAACATTGCTGACAGAGTTTGTTCTCACAGGACTTACTCGACAACCAGAGTGGAAAATCCCCCTGTTCCTGGCATTCTTGGTGATATATCTCATCACCATAGTAGGGAACCTTGGTCTGATTGCTGTCATCTGTAATGACCCTCACCTCCACATCCCCATGTACTTATTCCTCGGAAATTTAGCCTTTGTGGATACTTGGTTATCATCCACAGTGACCCCCAACATGCTGGTCAACTTCTTAATCGAGAGTCAGATGATGTCTCTCTCTGAATGCATGGTACAATTTTTTTCCTTTGCAATCAGTTTAACCACAGAAAGTTTTCTCCTGACAGCAATGGCGTATGATCGCTATGTAGCCATATGCAAACCTTTACTCTATCCAGTGATTATGACCAATGAACTATGCATCCGGCTATTAATCTTGTCATTCCTAGGTGGCTTTCTTCATGCCACTATTCATGAAGGTTTTTTATTTAGGTTAACCTTCTGTAATTTCAGCATAATAAATCACTTTTACTGTGACATTATCCCATTATTAAAGATTTCTTGTACTGACACTTCTATTAATTATCTCATGCTTTATGTTTTTGCAGCTTTAATTCAAGCATTCACCATTCTGACTGTTCTTGTCTCGTATATATCTGTTCTCTTTACAATCTTAAAAAAGAAGTCAGTCAAAGGCATAAGGAAAGCCTTCTCCACTTGTGGAGCTCACCTCTTATCCGTGTTTTTATACTATGGCCCTCTTCTCTTCATGTATGTGCTCCCTGCATCTCCACAAGCTAATGATCCAGACATGGTGGACTCTCTATTTTACACTGTTATAATTCCTTTCTTAAATCCAATTATCTATAGCCTGAGAAATAAACAAGTCATAGATTCATTGAAAAAAACAGTAAAGGGAAAAGTTCAGGTTGTGTAGTTATATCTCTTCTCTTTTTAGCAAAATAGTCACAAAATTTTGCAGGTTAGATGTGGGTATAATTTTGTACTTGTTGAATCTTTTTTGCAATTGCAATTGTCCTAGATTTTTAATGACTTAAAGTGCTAGTATTTAATAAACTTAAAATATTTTTATGTATTTGAAAACATACATAAAATTTTAATCATGTGTCCTCTCATATTAGAATATTTAAAATGGAAAACAAAGGAAAACATTTTATAGGTTATATGTTCTTCATTTGTCTTTTAAATACATCAAATGGTAAAATTGTGTATCTCCTCTTAGAAGAACTTGAGTATGATAAATCATACAGCAAATAGAGCTGTATAGCCTACACACTCATATCCCATATACCCTAATTGGTTGCAGGTCTCTGTTTGGGTGAGCAGAGCAAAGTCCCAGGAATTCTGTTATCTACCAAAACCCACTGGCTCCTAGCATAGACTGATATCAGAGAGAAGCTATTAAATCTTATCAATAAAAGAATATAAAATATTCGTACCTAAAATATATATCATTATTCTTTATGTCTAGAGGTCCAGTACACATGATTAAACCAGGTTATTTTCTCTTTTTTTTTCTTCCTCTAAGAGATACCTGCACACCCATGGAAGAGAGTAAAGGGATGACAATCCTGCTGCTGTTATTCTTTCACCCAAAAGAATCTATAGTCTTGTTTATCTCTTTAGTTTGGTCATTTTTATTACTCCATGATATATCCACTCTACTAATGGTTTCTTGTCAATTATGTAGACTTTTGCTTATTCATTCACTGTTATGGCCAAAAGACTATCTTAGTAATATAAGCATCTGGTGTCTCTTTCTTCTGCCACTTTCAAAGTCGGATTTCCTAATTAGGCTTTTCCTTGAATGAGAAGACAGATATGAAACTATGAGCATATGGGTAGTTACGTAACCTGTCAAGTCCTACTCTAGGTTGAGTGAGCATGGAAGGGGAAGGTGGGAGCTTCTCAGAAACTCAAACAGACAGGATATTGCTAGAACACACCCCAGCATCAGCTGATAGCCAACCCCATGTCCCCATGGTTTGGATGACTTACTCTGATATACAAGGATCACTATTTATGCTAAGTGCTTGCCACTCTTTCTCTAGGCAGTAATTTTATAACAACAAAAACTTCATCTGCAGCCTTCTCTTGTACATGTCTAGTCCACAGATTCCTCTTCTCTGGTTTGTCTTTCAGCACCATCTCAACTACTTTATACTTTTCTAAAATTCAACAAAATCTCTGTTCTCTTACTGTGATCCCATTCTTATTTCTTTTATAGATTTATTCCCTTTAGTAAATAATTTTTGTCCCATAAGTTGGATGTTAGAGAAAAGGTAACATATACTCTTGAGCAAAGCCTGCATTTTAGCCTAGATATTCTGCTTCCTTTAAAAAGAAACCCCCTGACGGTGCGTACTGCACCCATTGGGTGTGGATATACTCATGCCCTCATGTCCCCTCTCACCTGCCCGACACCGAATGAATGCTATTACTGTGTGTGCACATAAGTATTGCTCAGTTGGTGCCAATTTGATGGTAAGTACATGTGGTGTTTTATTTTCCATTCTTGTGATACTTCACTTACTAAAATGGAGTGGCTGGTTGCTCAATGATTCGGTGGTCTTACTGGACAACATCTGACTATGCAGACAGTTCTCCATTTTCATTTTCTTACTAGGTGGTTTCCTGTGTTCCTCACGGATCTCATGGCCAGTTTGATAGATGTCGGACTGTAATGTGATCCCACTCCATACCATACAAAGTGCTGCTCTTGCTACATTTGAAATCTCGTTTCTGATATGAAAATACCCAGGAAAACTATATATGTCTTTTGCTTTTGAGGTAGTTTTCATGTAGTTAATACTACCCTTTTCTGCATGAGCTCTTATTATACCAACATAAGTGTATGGTACTTTCATCATAAGAGGTTTGTTGTTATAAAATTACTGCCTAGAGAAAGAGTGACAAGCACTTAGCATAAATAGTGATCCTTGTATATCAGAGTAAGTCATCCAAACCATGGGGACATGGGGTTGGCTATCAGCTGATGCTGGGGTGTGTTCTAGCAATATCCTGTCTGTTCTCTACAGTATGCCAGAGTGGGGCTCTAGCGCTGGTTCCCAATGTGCACCCACAGGCTCGATCTGAGTTTTGTTACTCTAAATGTTAAGGAAGAGTGGGAAGAGAAAAGGACATTCCCTCCATAGATTTCAACACTTTGCACTTTTACTAAGCTTGATAAGACAAGAGTATAATCTATAATTATTTTAAAGTGAATTTTCTTCTATTTACCACTCATCATCTTTTCCTTGAATAAGAAAAGACATTGTTCAAGCTAGGATATTGTTTGTGCCTTGATGCTAGCAATTATAGAATAGATCCATTTAAAATATGGTATTCTGCATTTTGATGCTTAATTTTTCTAAAGAGATTAATACCAAACATTGTTTTCTTTGAAGAAAACAAAGATGAACATATTGTTCCAATAATTGAGAACATTTTCTGTGTTTTGAGATGGGAGCAGGATCAAGTATGCTTTGAGGGGTTTTTGTATTTAGGAAATCCTGAATTCTCAATTGTTTGCCAAGTTTTAGGCAGGTAAGAATCAGTCCAGCCTCTAAGTTTACCAAAAAAAAAAAGTGCACAGAGTTCTGGTCTGATGACTAAATCCTCAAAATAAAACCTAAGAGGACACTAATGATTCATTAAAGTAAATTGATGGTTTTGCTACTAATTCCTATCCCATACATCTAATACAAAAGAAGTGTTGGTAATGGATAAATAACATGTCCTGGGCAGATGAGCTTTATCTAATAGATAAAAGTTTGCTTTGGTCACAGTTGCCTATGAATATGTGTTTCAAAACAAATATCAAGCCTTAAATTAAAATTTCACTATGTTTTAGAACTGTCATTGCCTTAATGTTCAAAATTCTATGTAAGTTCTGCAAATAAAGGAAAGATGCATGTTTATGCCTTTTTGTAAATATATATGCAGTGATCTATGGCTTTGAAAAAACCATTTTGTTTTTGTGACAATGTTTTTTAATTCACCCAATATATTTACAGAAAAATGGTGCATATTAATATTTCTTCATGTAGAAAGGCTGTTTCTCCTTAATATATTAGTTACCTGAATTATTTGTAAAATCTAAAATTCAGTGATTAAAGAGAAGCTATAATTCTAAAAAACAGATATGGAAGACCTGCATGGTGAAAAATAAAAAAAATTCAGAGAAATTACAGAAGTCCTAAATAAATAGAAAGATGTATGGTGTTTAGGTCAAAAGACTCAATATTGAAGAATGGAAATTTTCCTCAAATGCATCTATAGATTTAATAAAATATCTACCAGAATCCCAGCAGGATTTCTTGTAGAAAATTTTGATATGAATATAATATTCTCATGGAAAATGCAAAAGATGCATAATAGCCAAAAACAACTTTTCAAGAGAAGAATAAGCGTGGGGGTCTACTGCTATCTGATTCTAAGACTAAATTTAGAACTTCAGTATCAAGACAGTGTGGTATTGTTGTAAAGATAGAAAAATAAAGTGAATAGAACAGAGATACGGAAATAATCCCATCATATATGGACAGCTGATTTTGAACAAAGGTGCAAAGGTAATTCAGTCAAGAATGAATAGGCTTTATGACAAATGATGTTGTAACAATACGATATACATGGGCAAAAAGCCACTTTGGTCCTGATAATATTCAAAAATTGAATCAAATAGACCATAGACCTAAGTATACAACCTACATATGCAACACTAAAGCCATGAAGTGTAAAAGGAAAAAAATGTTATATTAACTTTATCCAAATTCAAAGTTTTTGCTTCTCAAAAAATTGTTAAAATTAATAAAAACAACTCATAGATTTTCAGAAAATATTTGCTAGTTGAATATTTGGTAAAGTGTTTGTATCCACAATATGTAAAGAAGTCTCCGAACTCAATAGTAACAAAACATAATTTAAATATGCACAAAAGATTTAAACAGACAAATAACCAGAGAAGAAATATGGATGACAAATAAGAACTAGAAAAGATGCTCAACATCATTGGTCATCTCACTGAGTTCCTTTGTCTTTGTTTTTCCTTGGCTTCTCCCCCTTTGCCTAGTAGGATTTCTATCAGCTGAAAGATGAGGAACTAGTATATGTCTTGATTTGAGCTGCAATTTGCATGAGAAAGACAACTTTACCTGGAACTGTCTCTTAAAAGAAATCTAGATCTTTGGCCACATTAAGATTATGTTTTGATGAGCTTAGACACGATCATACTAATTAAGGTCATCAAAGCAACAAATTTTATGTATATAAACTGAGGTTTGTCTGGACATATCACAAGTGTCACCTGTGGTGGAAAATAGTGACATCAAGTGTAATTTCAGTTGGTAAAAGAACTGCCTATAGTTAATGGATATTTATCATTTCAAAGACTATAATGACCTGTGGGACAATTTGTCCAAATCCACAGTGCCCAGTAGAAGAGCTTCACTTTATCTTTCTCCAAGAAATCTTCAGGCGCTCTTATGGGAATTTCAGTTTTCCACTCCTTCCTCTTCTGGCAAAAGCACACATTTGTACCATTGGTTGACTCTTGTGTCCAAAGCAAATTTATATAAACAACATTTTTCTGAGCTTGGGAAATGAAGCTCACAAAATGAATCACTGTACAAGAAATTGCTACCTTTGTTACTGGCATTCCTATGCTATTGTTTGTTTTGTACATTAGAGAGCCTAACACTATTAAAGGATCTATA